CTAGTTTCCTTCATTAAGAATGTTCTTTATTTTTCCATAGAGTGCAAACCTTCTCCACGCATCTGTCTTGCCATTCTTTGGTCTGCTCTCGGTTCCAGATGGCAGGAATCTCTTAGGAAAACAGTTCTCTAATCGTGCATCAAGATGGGAAGCCTTTCATTCTGATGAGACTCCTCATCTTTTTCTTTATCAGGGCGGTATCTTCCGCATGCCATAAATATCTTCGGCCTTCCGGGCTTTCAAGGCCACTTTTGTACTACTTGTACTACTACTAGTACTGGCATTTTAACTTTCGGCATATACTTCCAGGTTTTTAAAAAATTGTCTTAACTTTTTCAATTTTTCAACTTAAAAATCATCAAGAGTTTTACGTCCTGTTTAGTGAATAAAGCTGTTACACATTCATATTTATCTGGTTTGAATCTCTAAAACAAATTCCACCAGTGAAAATTTTGCCGAGGGAAGGCTAGGTTCATGGTTTCTCTCAGCAGGGCTTCAAGCAAGAGCGACTTTATGACGATATTTAACACTTCATTCTGTTTGTTCCGCCCCTCGGGGTAATCTTTTCTCTAAATGTCGTCTTAGGCGGTAAATAATGAATTAATGAAGTGCATAATAAAATTGCAGAGTTCCACATGTSTAAACTGCAGTGCCAGAAAACCAAGGGTCTTTCCATAAATAAACGCGAAAACAATTCCGCAGTTATGAGACATTAATATAATTTGGTCATTAAAAGGTTTTTAAGACAAAAACTCCAATATTTTTCAGCAGATTTCTAACTACGTGAGATTTTACTTTACTCTCATTTTCATAGGCATCCTCCATCTGGAATTCTAGACCATAATATTCATGTTTTGGCGCGAACTTATGTATTGGCGCTAAAAAAGGCCTGCGGCTCAAATATTAGAGACTCGGGCTCGCAGACTCGCAATTTAGCTACCCCCTTTAAGCTTTTGCTTCTGCAGGAGAGCCATAGTTTCATCATGAGACTTGATGATATCTGTTACATGCCTTATTCTTTCTTCTCTTGCACTACTTTGCACATATGGCCTCATGGCTAGGAATCGAGGACAGAAATCTTCTATTTCTGTCAGTGAATATGGTAGAGATAAACTAGTTAACCGCGTCGGAGTTTGAAATCGAACAGTAGGAGAATTGATTTAACTTAATACACCGTATGGTTTGTGATGTCTCCGACGAAGGACTAACGTCCGAAACGTCAGTTTCTACATATCACACATCATACGGTGCATTAAGTTAAATCAATTTTCCTACTATTTCGGTCAGTGGCGTGAATCGCGGGCTCGTAATTTTATAGTTCCAATATGGCGGACAATTATTATAGCGTCGAACGATTATTGCTAAGAAAAACGAGGGAAATACGGTGAGTTTCTTTGATAAAATGAGAAATTCTAATTTAAGCTATACATGAAGCAAATGTTTTGATGAAATTTATAGACCTTTTATCTTAAGTGGGAAGACTATAGTTTGAATGCTTCTACGTGGGAGAGTGAGACGAATTTGACGCGTTTGTTGTTAAGGTAAAAACATACATCAACACCAAACAATACTTCTGTTATTCACGAAGTACTATTTCACTCTATACACATGAAGTGACGCGGGATACCACTTTCATTCTTTATTTTATATCATCAATCACGTCTCATGTACATCTAGTAAACTAAAGACAATCAGAGACAGTCACACGTGCGCCTCTACCAAATGTTATGTAATATGGAAACACATGCATGGCATTTAAAGTATACTCATTTAACTCTAGGGCTTTACGAACTAAATCACAATCATAAAATAACACAGTTAGATCAACTAAACAAAGGATGACATATAGGGAATACAATGATGATAATCAGATTAATCACAATACGATTTTCGTACATATTCGGATCACGTCTGTACAACAATGTACAAACTCCGAGTTGTCGATTTGTCCACTTTTAGAATCGAGATACTGAAATAGCGCGTAACTCGAAAAATAAGGTTCAATCTGTTGGGTTCGAGTTACGTAACTCGAGTTTGATTTCAATGCTGTTTGTCATCGAGTTACGCACAGATGTCAAAGTGGGCGTGGCCCCCAAAACATGGGTGTGTCCGAGCGCGTAACTCGAAAAATATGTAACTCGAAAATCGTAACTCGAGTTTTTCCTTCCCTCGAATAGATCGTTTTCACGCACGTGACCAAATCACTTGACAACCGTTGCTAGCCGCCATATTGGTGTACCAAAAGTGTAAACAAACCAAGAGCGTCTTGAGTGTGAAGATGGTTTTATGTATGATTGTTGGCTGCGCATCGAAAAGTGGAAGAGATAAACGAGTTTATTTTGCAAGAGTACCTTCTATCGTTACTAGTTRAGGGGAAGAAGCTAAATATTTGTCAGAAGAAAGGCGACCGAGGTGGATCACAGCTATAAGCCGAGATGATCTGAMGGAGGCGATTATCGAGAATGATCGAGTATGTGGCAAACACTTMGTAAGTGGAAGGGCTGCGAAACCTTGGGATAAATACAACATAGACTGGGTTCCAACTCTTCAATTAGGACACAAGAAAAAGCAGCGTTCAAATCTGGAAACAGCGGCAAAGAGAAGCGAGAGAGCGAGAAATCGCGAGTAAAAGAGGTCTTTGCCGTTTGACACTGAACACACTAGTGATGAAGGGCTGTTGGCAAAGCGAAAGAAACTGAATGAACCAGGTACTGAAGTTTTGAATATTGACTTCTGTACACCAGAAGAAGATGATTCAGAACAAAAAGATGCTGCCACTCAGACAGAGGACGCAAAAATCTCCCAAGCAGGTACACAAACCGATGAGTTTGAATATCTTTTCGAGTCTCTTAAGCTGGACGATAATAAGCCATTTGACTGTTATGACTTTGAAAATAATGATGACAAAGTCTCTTTATCTACAGTCTCAAGAATTTTTTCTTCCGGGATGGTAGCTTTGGATATAAGATTACAACCATTAATCCACTGGCCAGAAAGGGAAGATTTGCACCGTACCATGCCCCACAGTTTTCACTTTTCCTTTGGTAACAAAACCACTGTTATCATTGACTGTTTTGAGGTCTTTATTAACAGACCTTCAAACCTTTATGCCCGTGCACAAACTTTTTCTTCTTATAAGCACCACAATACAGTGAAAATACTCATTGGCATTTCACCACAAGGAA